GAGGGAGCTGCGGCCGCTCTCTGCTCCAATGCCGTCCATGGAGCCAGAAAGGTGGGCGTGCTGGCGGGGGGGGGGGGGGGGGGGGGGGGGCAGATTGGCTGTCAGGGGTTAAAGTTCACCAGATCAGTTCTATTAGTTACTATTTCTTGATCAATGTTAGCTTTGTGCTTCAATGTCACCCACGTGATGATCTCCAACGTAGACATTGGAAGGCGATCCGACCGCCACGCAATGTTTCATTGGTCGGTTCTTCCCCAAAACGGTGCCCCCGTAGTAGTGTAGGGTCAAAGGAGGTGACGGGGAGCAGAGAAAAGAGTCTCGGCATCCAAAAAAGTGAGAGCCATTGGTCAAGGCAAGATTGGTCAACTTTTTGTTCATAGACTCGGGGCCATAACCCAATCCGGATCGGAAGACCATCGTCGAAGGTCTATGAGCCAAATGGGACCCAGATTGGACTGATCACAGGAAATGGGTTCCGAGGGGAATGTTACCCAATGGGCCTGACCATGTCCACCATAGATCGCCCCCCCCCGAGGTAGTGATAGCCGGCACTGTGCCCAAAAACTGTACGACATTGAGAGTCAACATCTGGATCTTCTGTCCTACTGGGGAGGTTCTAACCGATGTAGGTGCCTCCACCTGGCGAGCCTCGGATGGTGTACAGACCCGAGAACTCAGCACAGGGATGGTGGGAGCTCCTCATAATGGGCACAGCGGGGGTACAGACCCCGGAAATCAGCACAGGGATGGAGGGAGCTCCTCATAATGGGCACAGCGGGGGTACAGACCCCGGAAATCAGCACAGGGATGGAGGGAGCTCCTCATAATGGGCACAGCGGGGGTACAGACCCCGGAAATCAGCACAGGGATGGAGGGAGCTCCTCATAATGGGCACAGCGGGGGTACAGACCCCGGAAATCAGCACAGGGATGGAGGGAGCTCCTCATAATGGGCACAGCGGGGGTACAGACCCCGGAAATCAGCACAGGGATGGAGGGAGCTCCTCATAATGGGCACAGCGGGGGTACAGACCCCGGAAATCAGCACAGGGATGGAGGGAGCTCCTCATAATGGGCACAGCGGGGGTACAGACCCCGGAAATCAGCACAGGGATGGAGGGAGCTCCTCATAATGGGCACAGCGGGTGGACAGACCCGGGGACTCAGCACAGGGATGGTGGGAGCTCCTCATAATGGGCACAGCAGGTCATGTTGCCCCTCCCACCATAGTCTCTATATATACATTGGCTGCTGCGTATTCTGTGCTATTTATATCCCCATTTAGTGAATGAGGTTTTTTTTTTCCTTGGGTCACATGACAGGAAGTGGACTTTGCCCCGTGGAAGGTGTCCCTACGTTGGCGCTGCGGTCAGTATAAAACGTTTCCTATTTACCAGTACAGCTCATGAAACAACAAAGCTATATTTAAAGGGGCAGTCCACTTCTAATAGATGTTTGGGTTGTGGGCGTGTCTTACATTTAGGATTGGCTTTTACATATGGAGCCCAACACAGAGAATTTTCTGCTTTGCTTACCCCGCTTCAAGTAGTCTCACTCCTGCAGCAGCAAGCTGTGTGCCTGTTGATAGTGAGCTCTTAAATGCCCCAGTAGAGCCAGTGAGCTCCTAAATGCCCCAGTAGAGCCAGTGAGCTCCTAAATGCCCCAGCAGAGCCAGTGAGCTCTTAAATGCCCCAGAAGAGCAAGTGAGCTCTTAAATGCCCCAGTAGAGCCAGTGAGCTCTTAAATGCCCCAGTAGAGCCAGTGAGCGCCTAAATGCCCCAGTAGAGCCAGTGAGCTCCTAAATGCCCCAGTAGAGCCAGTGAGCTCCGCTTCAAGTAGTCTCACTCCTGCAGCAGCAAGCTGTGTGCCTGTTGATAGTGAGCTCTTAAATGCCCCAGTAGAGCCAGTGAGCTCCTAAATGCCCCAGTAGAGCCAGTGAGCTCCTAAATGCCCCAGTAGAAACCAGTGAGCTCCTAAATGCCCCAGCAGAGCCAGTGAGCTCCTAAATGCCCCAGCAGAGCCAGTGAGCTCCTAAATGCCCCAGTAGAGCCAGTGAGCTCCTAATTGCCCCAACAGAGGTAGTTGTTGGTAGAGTTTCCGCTGAACTTGTCTCTTCCATTTGTCTCCCGCCAGCTCCAGAGACCCAGCGATGCCCCCGGTGCCACCTCACAACTTCTCCTGGGTGGAGCCGGGGCTCTTGGCTGGCATGGCGTTGCCGCGTCTCCCGGCACACTACGAGTACCTGTACGAACACGGCATCCGGCACCTGGTGACCCTGACGGAGCGCAAACCGCCGCACCACGACACCTGCCCCGTAATCACCCTCCACCGGATCCGCATCGTGGACTTCTGCCCACCCAGCCAGGAGCAGATCAGAACCTTCCTCAAGATCGTGGACGATGCCAAGGCCAAAGGAGAGGTGAGGAGAGTCCAATAGGGGCGGGGCATATACCTCCTCTCCTGATATACTCTGCTCTGCCGGAGGACTCTGCTCCTTCCTCTGTAACTCTCCTCTCCTGAGATACTCTGCTCTGCTGGCGGACTCTGCTCCTTCCTCTGTAACTCTCCTCTCCTGAGATACTCTGCTCTGCTGGCGGACTCTGCTCCTTCCTCTGTAACTCTCCTCTCCTGAGATACTCTGCTCTGCTGGCGGACTCTGCTCCTTCCTCTGTAACTCTCCTCTCCTGAGATACTCTGCTCTGCTGGCGGACTCTGCTCCTTCCTCTATAACTCTCCTCTCCTGGAATACTCTGCTTTGTTGGAGGACTCTGCTCCTTCCTCTGTAACTCTCCTCTCCTGATATACTCTGCTCTGCTGGAGGACTCTGCTCCTTCCTCTATAACTCTCCTCTCCTGAAATACTCTGCTCTGCTGGAGGACTCTGCTCCTTCCTCTATAACTCTCCTCTCC